ATTATTACTTATTATATTCTAATTAATTAGAATATATTAGCTCTATTTGGATACTATTGGGCTACGGAAGATAGTAGTACTACAAAACATACTTTATCCGGTATGGTTAAGGTTCCAGGTTCAATCCACTTTGAGGTTGCTGGAACAGCAATTTGATATTTTGAGCCGACTTGACTTGATTCGATTTATGCTGTGAGATAACTTTCTAGTATATTTTCTTGGGCCGTACGAGCTTTGCAAGCCCGACTATTTGAACTTGAATACATTGCAATGCGCTGATAAAAATTCACTACCACACGTTGCTTATCGATATCAGAAAATTTTTCTTATCAGTCGATTAACTAGTTAACGTTACTTAGATGGATTTGAAAACTTCTGTACGCAAGATGAATATCTTCTAAAGGACTCATATCTGAATATAAACCGATGAACTGATTCCGTTCGCCGCTGTTTAGCCTTCTACACTCCCTCACGACCACCCTTCCTCCCCCCAGACCATGTTCAGACCCCCTATCAACCGCGCAATGCGCGTACTTGACCGATCATTCTTCAAAAAGACCATACCTCTTGCTGCGGCCACAGTATTTGAAGCAAGGAATCTTGGCCGGATTAAGACCGAGCTGGCGAAGAGCAATGATATTCTGAACGCTCCGCGGCTACCGGCTATTCGATATGTCCAGAACCCCACCACGGAGGAGGAAAAGAGCAAAAAGTGCATCTTGCTGAAGGAGCAGATACAAGCCAATGATGCTGCTACATGGTCCCCAACAATACGGGAATTGGTTGAAGCGAAGTCCGTGGAGTTGAAACCATATGATCTTCACCTTGATTATGACTACTGGCTCTATCGTATGTGCAATCGGGAGGTGCAACTGTTAAAATGCAAGTACTAACATGCATTGCAGACGATATTCTTTCTTCAATACTGCCAGAGGAACATCTCGAGGAAACACCGGCGGGTTTCAACCAAGTTGGCCATGTTGGTATGTGAAATCGAAATGGTTGAATTTGTAGAGACGGGTATACTAAACTTGAAAATATAGCACATCTTAATCTGAGAGAGCAATATCTCCCATATAAACATTTAATTGCGGAAGTTATCCGAGATAAAAACTCGACGGTCCGAACAGTGATCAACAAGGTCGACGATGTTGGTGCAAACAGCGAATATCGCACTTTTGCCTACGAGCACCTGGTTGGGGACGAAGATATGAATGTTGTCCAGCATGAGCAGGGATGCGAGTTTGCATTCGACTACTCTAAAGTATACTGGAATTCACGCCTAGGAAACGAACATACATACCTTGTTGGCAGGTTCAAAGAAGGAGAAGCTGTATGTGATGTCATGGCTGGCGTGGGACCCTTTGCTCTGCCAGCGGGTAAGAAGAGGGTATTCGTTTATGCGAATGATCTTAACCCCCACGGATATGAGAAGCTGAAAGAAGGTGCTGCTCGGAACAAAGTTAGGGAATTCGTCCAACCATTTAACATGGATGGAAGGGAATTTATCCGACACGCTTCACAGGAGCTATGCGTTAACGGCCCACGCCCTGTCAAGATATACCCCAAAGTGAAACGTACCGAGGCCGCTGAGAAGAAAGCTGTTCCTCCACAAGTATACAAATGCCCACCTACCTTTGACCACTACGTGATGAACCTTCCGGCTTCCGCAATTGAGTTTCTAGACGCTTTTGTCGGTGTTTATGCCGGAAAGGAGTCAATGTTCGAGCCGCACACCCAGCGCAAGCGCCCGTTTGTTCATGTTTACTGCTTTTCAACCAACTCCGATGACAACGCTGTTGAGTTTGCGGATATCTGCAACCGCATTTCGGAAAGGATACAGTACAAGATTACCCCTGACGATATGATTGGTGGTACGGGAAACCAGGATCTTGAGCTTGAGATTCGGGATATCAGACTTGTCTCGCCGAACAAGAGAATGTTCTGTGCTTCCTTTAGGCTTCCGGCAGAAGTTATCTTCAAGTCCTAACTAATGCGGCGCTTTACTGGGTGAACTGGAGTTTGCCTACTTTCCATTGGTGATTTTAAAACGACAAAAGTGAGCGAGGGTGTTTAGCATCATTCTCCGGTTTATGTTTCTTCAACGACATAGAGTTGTGTACGATAGCCTATATATATTTCTTCATACCCTGCATTGACTGCCATTGGAATGGAGTTTGTGGGAGGACCTTGAATTTTCGACGATACTCGTTTCTCTTCCAATTCTCTTCTATAGAAAAGCATCTTCCTTAGTGTTTCCTGATAAACTTGGCTTCCATTGCCTATTAGCACTGACTTGGCATTTCTCCTTCTAATAACCTGGCTAATAATGAAAAAAAGTTCTCCCCTCTGATGCTATGCATTAGCTCTCTTTAGCAAATAAAAATAAACAGTATCATGTAGAATATCGTCTTCCGTAAGGTACCGTTTTCCAAACCTGAACGCCTTGCACGTTGCTAAAAAAAAGCCCCTCCCAAACCCGTTATTTCGAAGATAATAAACAGGACTCCCAAAGCACTGCTATTCTCATCTCTCCCATATTTTATATCTTCCCAGTGGTGTAATGGAGTAATCACTCCACGAAATTTCGCAGCTTGGTGAGCTCGTCTAGGAGCTCCTGCAGGTCTGCATCCGAGATCTTGTTTCCAATACTCGGGATAAGGGACTTGGCTTCTTCGGCGTTATCACAGCATAGACTCCCTAGGGTTAGGGTTAGCTTGAGGTGAACGACTATCAAAATCAACGTGTAATTAAGCTGCACGCCTCACGTACCTAGTTGTGACCGCTCAAAGAACTCCAGCTCCGTATGCGCAGAGAGAAGTCGCTCGACAGCCTCGATGTTCTCTTTCTCTTTGAATCTGGCAAACACTTCGAGATAGTCCTGTGTTTTGACCAGGGTCCTGCCGGCGAGCGAAATCGGCGTTAGCATCATGGGCGGCCTGGTCCAAGTCGCAAACAACCAGCGCGCACAACTCACTCTCGCTCTTCAAACTTGCTCTCTCCTTTCCTCCGCAGGTCAAGGACCTTGTTGATCACCAGTCGAGCTTCGGACAGAGACAGGGTCGGAACATGCTGGAATTCGCCGAGCTTGAGCTGGGCGGTAGCTTCGAGTTCGCTCTGGGGGAGCTCGCGTTTGCGGTGCGTGGGCTCGTGAACGGGCGTGGAAGAGCTCATGGTACTGGCGAGTTGTATTCCGGCTGTTTTCTGTAAGGCAATGACCAGCTCGCAGTGCTCAGTACTCCGCTAGACTCAATGCTCAACCTTGATGGGCCTTCACGATCTCTTTCTCCAGGTTCCTTTTTTTTCTCCTTTTGACGTTTCGATCAGAAAACTCATCACGTGATATTAAAATGATTATGTAATGAATTGCTTGTCTGCTTATATAATACGAGCTTGTTTGTTTTTTTTTTTTTTCGCTTCTTTTTTTTTTTTCTTCCTTTGCGGCAGATTCCAAATCCAAGGAAAAGCCATGTAACGAAGAAGAAGAAGAAGAAAACACACGACCCGAACGGCTAATAATATTGCTAGAAAGACCGCAGAACCGTCGAATGTCCTCCCCACGCGCACACGCTTAGCTGATCTCTGCAGCACCCCGGCCGCCCGATCTTATGGCCGTCTCCTATAGATGAAGGGCTGCCGCAGCTCCGCCAATAGGACGAGCAGCAGCGCTTACCTAAGCCGAGCCAGTCGCAAATAGGCAATCCATCGCTGCCGGATCATTGGGATCAACTCGCTTTTTCGACGTTTCGACCGTCCACGAACAAACAACCCAGGAAGGCCTATTTTTCTTTTCGCCCCTCGTTCCCCGTCCCCGTCGCCGGCGCAAGAGCCAATGCGACTGACTCGCGCATATTCCCTCTTCGTCGAGGCGGTGCGACTGACCGGCGCACGCCTCTGGTGCTAATATATATCCCGCGGGCGACGGCCACAGAGGAAGAGGGGAGGGATAAATAGGATACCTGCAACACACAACGTTGTCGCAGTCGGGGAACCTCGGGGGTGTCTGCTTCGTAACCAGCCAGCACGATGTGGAGTTCTCCATACGGAGTTACAGTCGCCCATATGGAGGAATGCCAGCTCGGCTAGGCGACTTTTATATGCACCACTGCTTCTCTGCGTCTGCTTCCGCCGTCCTGTTGCGCTTGCTGCCAAGTCGTTCGGGGCGGTGTCATAAGGAGTGAAGTGGTGTTGCTGGAGTGAATTGAACCTCCAGCTTCTTCTTCTCTATAATTTACTTACCATTGTTATATTTCTCAACCGCCACAAATCTTCAAAAGCCATACAGCGCTTTTTGCTTCTTCTTTTTCCTTCTTGATCTCTCCATGCTGTCTGTCTTTCTCGCTGCCCCACGTGTTCTGCGCTAGAAGAAGAAGAAAAAAATTGAGCCGGGGGGGCAAAGACTCCAGCTTCATGATGTCGAAGGCCTTCGATAAATATACCATCGGCCCAGAGAGCCCAGACGTCCACAGCAAATATAAACCAACAGATGAAGTTGTCTTTCGGAGTCCGTTTGGGCCGTTTCCCAAGGTTGACCCGGATCTGAACTTGCATGATTTCTTGTTTCCTCCAGAGAAGCCAATTGACCAGCCGGACCATGATCTATTCATAGATGGGTGTACAGGCGCCACGGTGTCGCTGTATCAGTTCTACGACAGAGTATTATCTCTCTCGAGAGCCCTGCGGCATGATGGACCTAACCCGGTTGGGCTGGGGCAGTCGCCGGTGGATGATAACGGCAATGGTGAGATCATGGGTATACTATCAGGGAATCATCTCTCATGGCCGTTGCTGGTGCATGCGTGTTTCCGGTCAGAGCTTGTTTTTGGTAGCATCAGTCCCAATTCAACGCCTTATGAATTATACCATGTCATGCGCAAGATGCAGGTCACATCAATGGCCGTGCACGAGTCTCTGCTCCCTCTGTTGATGGATACTGTCCGGAATGGTCCTCAGACGGGCAACGACAGCAGACTTGAGTTTGTATTTGATACCAGCAAGATAGTAGTCATATCGGATGACCCCACGCTGGACACAGTGCAGGGTTATCCTACGGTTGAGTCGTTAGTTCGACTTGGCTCAAAAACACCAGAGAAGCCATGGAAGCGTTCAGGGGGGGAGCGGTTATGCTATCTGCTTCAGTCGTCAGGGACATCTGGGTTTCCAAAAGCCATGATGATATCGCATAAAAACGCCATACACACTACCCTGCAGGGGATGATAACCTCGCGGCGGACAGCAGAGTTTGTAAGCTTTGACACATCCATCCATATGGCCTGCCCCGCCTTGAACTGGGTATACTGATAATCGAATCTAAATAGATGAATATGGACCCACCATTGGCTGTGCTCCTGGGTATAGTCCCAGCCTATCACTCATATGGCCTGACTATGTACGCCCTCCGAGTCAACGTGATGCGGAATACAAACGTATTAATGACCAAATGGGACCTGGAGACCGCTCTGAGGCTTATAGAAAAGCACAAGATCACCACTCTCCCTCTCGTGCCACCGCTTGTCCGACAGCTCGCTCTATCGCCCCTTACAGAGAAGTACGACCTTTCATCCGTCACCCTGGCCCTAAGCGCAGCAGCCTATCTCCCGCCAGACGTAGCCCACAGTCTAGGCAAGAAGCTCCCGCAACAGTCCCCCATCCAGTCCGGCTATGGACTCTCAGAGGCGCTCTCTGTCGCCCAGCCGGTGGTCGAGGGTCTCTTTGGGCTCTCTCGCGCCCAGCCAGGAACAATCGGACATCTGATGCCCGGCATTGAAGCCAAGCTGGTTGACCCAGACACACTCGAGCCCGTACCCAAGGGAACCAAGGGCGAGCTCTGGGTTCGAGCGCCCGTCGTGACTCCGGGCTACTACAAGGACTGGGAAGCAACTGCCAGCCTGTTCGCCGAGCCCGGCTGGCTGAGGACAGGCGACTTGATGATGCGAGACGCAGAAGACCGACTGCACTTTCTCGACCGGCTGAAGGAGATGATCAAGGTGAAGGGCATGCAGGTCGCGGCCACGGAAGTCGAGGATACCCTGCTGTCTCATCCGGACAAGCTGGTGCGAGATGCGTGTGTTGCCGGGGTCGACAACGGCCGAGGAGACGGTGGACTCTTCCCTCGGGCGTGGGTGGTGCTATCTGAGGAAGGCAGACGGCGAGATGCGAGCCAGGTCATTGTGCAGCTCGACGAGTTTGTCAAGAGCCGGCTGTCCAAGTACAAGCATCTTGCCGGCGGGATTGAGATAGTCGACTCTGTAAGGCAGCCCACCCATTCTATCTCTTTTCGTTCAAAGTTCTGTATACTGACTGAGAGTAGATACCGCGGACGCCCTCGGGCAAGATGCTGCGCAGAGCGATGCGAGACCAGTACCACTCGCGGCAACGAGACAAGCATGACAAGGCGAGGCTCTAGGCGGCTAGTCTGCGGTCTGTGGCTTAGCGATCTATTTTTACCCACCCCCAGCCTTCCGCCATCATCCATCCTTGAGCTGTCTTCTTTTGTGTCTGCCTGTTTTGTTTCTCCTGCATCTTACTTTATAGACCTTAGCCTGCTTGATAATATCTTAATTAGAGTTGTGTTTCATGTCCAGCCACTGGCTGTAAACAGAGCATGAGAGATGTGTTTCACCGGCTGCAGAGTGGCAACGTGTCTGTACCTGAGTAGTCATATCTTTAAACATTACATCGATCTATCTATATTTAATCTATATTATATCTATATCTGTATCTATATCTATATCTATATCTATATCTATATCTGTATCTGTATGTATGGATGTATGTAGGCTGTCCTCATCACGTGAGTCTGTTTCCCTTTCGCCCCTTTGGGACTAGCGCGGCCTCAACCAGCGACTTCGAAAAGCGCAAAAGAAACGCAGAAGAAACGCCAAACCGACGACGACGACGACGACGCCGCAGCAAGAAACATCCTCGTCCTCGACCTCCGCCAGCGTCACCGCCAGCTCCTGTCCCGCGTGCTGCTGGCCGATCCACGCGTCTCTGCCGCTCCCGTCGCCGGCCTGGAGGGCCACAGGTAGTCGCTTCGGGCTAACTATCGGTCTGCATGCCAAGCAGCGTCGCCGGCTGGTTAGTTATCCCTGGGGCATCAAAAAGCAACTCTACATAAGTACTTACACCACACACGCCAGCGGGATAGCGCACTAATAACTCGGTGCGTGCTGCTGCTGCTTGCTGCTCCTGACATCACCAGCTCCGGCACGCCAGTGACAGCCAGCGACTGAAAGACGCAGGCTCTTCTGCAAGGTAAGCCCGCGAAGGATGCAGTCGATGCTCCTCCCTCGATGTTCTCTTTGCTTTTTGGCCCGGCTGTCCTCCCTGGCTGGTGTGCCTGTCCCGCTAGCCGCAGTGGAAAACCGTTTACCCGTTGCTGTGCTTCGATGACCTGCCAACTGACCGTCCTGACCCTCCTCCGCTGCCCCCATTTATAGGTTTTTTTGTTTTATATGGCTCGATAGGGGACTGCTGCAACGCCCGCCTACGCCTACGCCTCTTTACCCGCCCTCCTCCCTCTCGCTGCCATTGTCTCTCCTTTCACCAGCGTCTGGCTCCCGGGGCGGAATCTAATAACGAATTTAATGAAAAAAGAAGGGTAAACCCCCCAGAGAAAGGTATGCATTCCCCACTAACCAGCCTCCTCCTGAAAGATGCTATTGATGAAACCTGCCCCAAGCAAAACCCCCCTACCTGCTAGAGGATGGAAGGCCGCTCTTGTTTCTGACTGCTGCGTGAATCTGCCTAGACACCCTGCCCTGTTCCAGCTTGCTCTCACATACACACTCGCTCATTTTTCACCTTGCTCTACTCTGCTGCTGTGCTCTTCTTCCTGTCTCCTGTCTACCGGCCTGACAGACTGTGAGCCTTTGGAGAAATAACACACAGACGACCTCACCTCTTTTTAGTTACCCCGGGTTTACTCCTTATTTATGCTTAACTGCAGTCTTTGCGTCACCTAGACTACAAGCCTCCTGGGCCTCTAAGCGCTATCCGGGCCGCTCTGTCGCGTATTTCACTCTCTCACTCTCTCGCTTGCTTCCTCTCCCTGAACCGACGCGCCCTCAACCTCCAAAATAGGGGATACCGTTCTCCTTTCCTCTCTTTCATCCTCCCTCTGATCGATCCTCCCTGTCTGTCCTCAGAAGCGAAAAAAATAAAAAAGAGAG